TAGGAGAGCTATAGCTGACCTGCTCCCTAAACACGCAGTCTTTGAAATGCATCTTTTCTAAAGTCATGCCGCGCCTATGAAATAATTGTACTCGCCCTTGTCAGCATTATGGTGTTTGTTTTTGTCCTTCCCGTCCCTGTCTTCTCCTTAAACTCTGCAGCAATTCCAATAACTTATGCAAGACCTATATTTCTCTCTGAGATGATTTAACTTCCACCTGATTTAAGTAACAAAATAGCCCTCAAAGATACTTAATGCTTTGCCGTAATTAACATAACTGCATTTAGATGCCATTCATGACCGATAATTCTAACACCTTGTGGGAAAAAAAGTTGCATGCTTTAAACATTATAAACATATTCAAATAAGCTTAACACAATCTGCCATGCTTATTTCTGCCTAGATCATGGACCAGCGAAATGGTTAATGCAAATGGATTTATAATTTGCTTTGGGGGGCCAGTTTCTTCTCCTTATTTATTAGCCCAGCTGATGGGGCAGATTTGATGAGGCACTTCTGGAATAATTGAGTCATCACACAAAGAAGGCTGCTAGCATTCAGAGTGGTTTTATCAGCAGCAAGCAGGCCTGATTACTGACAATTACACTCTGATCCGGTGATGGAGGAGAAAGAGCCAACGAGTGGGAAATGTCCGTGTTTCTATCCAGGAATAATTTCTACATTCATTTTACATGCTAAGTGTTTCCTATCTCTGCATAATAAACTGTAAACAGGAATAGATGGCACAATGTCCCTTAATATTTCCTGGTAATGAAGACACAAATGTACAGTGAGTGCTGATAAATATAGATGAAACATAAGCTATTCTCTCAGTCTGTATTGTTACCTTTAAAACAAATGCATTTTTGTGGTAAAAGCATAATCATAGCTAATGCAAAAAAATGACAGAAGATTGAAACTGTCCTTGTAACTACATAGAAACTTTGCAAAAGTCCTGTTAATCACTGCTGCTTTAAAGGCTGGCGAGCTGAAGGTGAGATCTTTCTAGAAACTGTGTCATTCTCTTTCTCCATAGTCAACGAGGAAGAACTCCTTGGGTTGGACAAAGCAAAGGACAGTGCAGTAATAAGCTGCATTAACACGCCCAGAGAGCACATCTCGGTGCTAACCCAAGGAAACAATGAAACTGGCACAAGAAGACATCTTCCCCAGCACGTTTTTCAGTTTCCCTTCTATCGGGTCTTTCCACAAAATGTTGATGATGAATAATCAGGTTAGAGCAAAGATAGTGTGACCAGCTAGAGAGGGCGAGGTTTTGCTGCTTTTAGTATGGTGTCTTCAACGGCTTGTTTGGGGACACGGTTTACTCACAAAGCTCTATGAGCAAAAATGCATCTCATGGAGAGGTCATGTTAAACTAGTTTTTCCTCTGGTTCACAATCCCATTTGAAATGCCCAGAGAACAGGAAAGTTCAGATTTCTAAATATGCTATTATAGATCTTAGCGACAACACTTTAATTTTCTGTAATATCAAGAGCTTCTTCTTTTGAAAAGCCAATCAGGTGTGAAACTACGCATAATGAACCTGCCTGGGTCTGTTTGCTTAATCTCTTCTCTAAAGCTCCTTCTTGACCTCCAAAGAAAGAGAAGTTATTCTCTGTCTTCCTATGGTAACTATGGAAACTCTGTTTCATTAAACTGACCACTTAACTTCAAGGCTTGTATTGACACTAAATGTGTTGAGTAAATCTATACTAAACAACCTTATAATATCAAAAACACTTCTAATAAAGTTCAAAGAGCACTTGTTGATTCAAAAAAAATCAGGCTTTTCATTATGCAAAGAGAATTTTCTATTTTTAACCTATTTTATTATATAGATTGTCACATGATTGGACATTTTCCTTATCCATTTTTAAGAGGTTCTTTAGAATTTTTTCAATGAGTTGGCTGTTTTTTCCAACAGTAATTGTTTTTCATTAACATCTGTACCATGTTCTATAAATATGAATCAAGGCAAAAGAATACAGTGCTTTATGTTCCTTATTTGACCATGAAATCTGAAATGAGAGAAAGTACTGGTTTATTAAAAAAAAAAAATTCTCGATTGTTGAGGTTAATAGGATATTAGTTTTATAGAATGATCCCTGGATTTTTATTATTACTATATAAGCTAGAATGTTATATAGATTATTGAAATACAAGTATCTTTCTACTAAAATGCACTTGTTATTGGTTTCACGCACAGTTGCTGGGGAGCAATCTACCTGTTGCTGCATCTAGACAGTGGGGACAAAAAGATACATTACAACAGGACTCTTGTTCTCTATGGTAAGAACCACCAGCAGAGAACTCAAACGCATGGAGAGCGTAGGAATGCAGGAGGCAGAAAAAAGCACTGGGAGCACAGACTTGGATGAGCCTGGAAGAGCTGCCAGAAGATGGGCATTCCTGAGCCAGTTGTCTCTGGAGAGATTCAAAGACCTTTGACAAAGATAGTAAATGTCCCCAAAGCACATTCAAGAGGACATCACTATTCAAATTGGCTTAAACAATGCATTAAAGCCACGCTTTTTTAGTTACAAGAGGATCAAAGAACTGGATGGTCAAATTGGATAGGTAAAAGTAAATATTTGGAATTTGCTGGTTGTATTTGTAATATTAATGAGGAACTTTCCCTTTCCACCTCAGAACTGCAAACTCTATCTCTTGAAATGTGATTTGTCACTCATGCACTGTTGACAGCATCCCCGAGGATCCTGTATCCTAACAGCAGTTTGATAGCACATTCATCTTGATTCCATGCCACTTACCTGTGAGGGGCTGTATCATCTTGACTTTTTAGTGCAACATAATTTTATGTCTACCATAGGCAGTCAACATTCTACTGATATGAACTGTAATAGACCAAAAGTAATCCTTTTCAGATGCTTGAAGTAACAATTTATTAACTGGATTCTAATACAAAAATCTCAGGCCTTAAGTATTGGGGATACTGTAAGTTTCATAAGTTTGATTATTATGCAGGGTTGGGAGAACCGGAAGTTTTTCTTCCCTTATATTGAAACAGGTGAATAAGAGCAAATGAGAAGTATGACACATTTTATGGTCAGATTTTCTCCAATGTTTACTTTGCTTATATGAAAAATTATGGCAATTTAAATGATCCTTTGGTAGGAATTTGGAGATTTAGAAAGAAAACTGTCTCAGAAAGCCTCCAATTCACTTGAACTCCGTGCTATCTCTAGTTCTTACACTCCCATTTTCTCACTGAAACTTTGCTGGGACGTGCTGACTATTGTACACCTACATTTTACTTTAAACCAAGTATAGCCATACATTCCAAACTAGGAAATTGTACATTACGGAGAAAATCGCACTAGCCATTAGGAAAGATGAAGTAATCAATTCTTTTTATTAAAAAACTGGAGCCAGGGATTTAGCTCAGTGGCTTAAGTGCCTGTCTAGCAAGTGCAAGGTTATGAGTTTGAGTCCCAGTACCCCCCCAAGAGTGAAGTGACACAGTAGTTTCTAAATAAACACGGCTGCCTTTATTTATCTCATCAGGGGATAGTGCTCCCATAAGTCCCTTATATACCCCCTTAATTCTTCATTGAAATTTTTTTTCACTATTTCTTCGTCATCATGGCACAATGGCCTACTGATTTTATACACAAAGAGAGGAAGGTTTATTCTATGTAGAGGTAGAATTAGGGTTCACAGGGCAGTGGTCTGCTTTCAAGGTTCATCTGTGCAGCAGATACCTGGATTCTACTCCTTGGTACAATGCTGTGCTCTCTTATGATCAGTGAAATAGATTCACTGGAGCGAACAATAAAACATGCGGTCGCTTACACCTCTGAGGATATGGCCACTGAATTGTTTACAAAAATACCATGTTGAGAATTTTGGCAAGGGACAGAGAGAGATGTCATAAAGTAGAAGCAAGAAATCACTAACAGTAATAATCATCATTCATAGCCACAAAATAATTATTTCAACTCCTACAAACTTTTACCAATTTTTGTCTTACAAGAAATTTTTGTCTTCCTATTGCTCTCTGCAAAATAGATCCTACGTATTGGTTAATGTAGTCTCTTTATTGGTTTTCTATTGCATCTCTAACAGATTTCCACCAGATTAGCTTAAAGCAGTATAAACGTGTTACCTTACAGTTCTGGAGGTCTGAGGTCTGGTATGGTCGTACCAAGGTAAAACCAGGTCAGGCCTCCAGGGAGGATTACCTCCTTCTTCCGTGGTGCTGTAGGTAGAATCCAGTTCCTTGCTCTCCTGGGGCTGAAATCCTTGTGTATTTGCTGAACGTAAAGGGAGAGCCATTTCATGCCCTGTGTTGTTTGGCTCATGGCTCCCTTTCTCCATCTTCAAAATTTGCAATGATGTGTCAGGTTGAATCCTTAGTACACTGAATCTCTCCGATTCTTTCTTGTGCCTTTCTCTTAAAAGATCATGTGAGCAGTTGTACCTCGCTGAGCAATCTGGAGTGTTTGCTCCCTCTCAACAGTTTTTCTTTTGAGACAGGGTCTCACTATATGTTTCAGGTTGTCCTTGAACTCACTATGTATTCTGGATTGGTCTCAAACTTGTGTTGATTGTCCTGTCTCAGCCTTTAGAGAGTTCTTAATTCAATCCCAGTGATTATTTATAGATATTAAGGATATGGACAAGGACCCCATTATCTTCAAGCCCATTATCCTGTCTACTTTATTTTTTGATCCCTCCTGTGAATACTGAATGTTTTAAAGCATTAATGTTTCTCACCAGACATGTGAAGTAGCAAATCAAGATGAACAAATTTAAGCACTTCTCAAAATATATATGAACATAGTCCAAATTACTACAAAGATACCAACATGAATATACTCAAGCATCTTTCCTGGTCCTCTAGAATCAAGTTTTTTTAACTTCTCAGGTTTTGAAAACCATTAAAAAACCAAATTTTTGAGAAAAAGAAATAAGAGAAAGGATAAAGATTACATCTTATGGGAGGAAAGTGTATTATTAAATAGCCTTCACTTACCTTCCTTAATAGCTATTGGATTTGAACTGGAGAATTTCCATTGCTACAGAGTGAAAGCATCATCAGAGACAAAATGGAAAGAAAAAAAGAGAAAACTTAATTAAATGGCAATTATCTACAGCTTATTAACTATACAAAACAATCCTTTCAAATAATTTACAAACTATCAGAATATGGGTTGGGATATTACCAATCTTCAATAGTCAGACACAATAATATTTGAAAGAACTCTCTCTTAACAAGATAAACAGGTGCTCACTGTGACCAGAAAATGCTTTTCAGATTTGAGTCCTTTTGCATGTAAGTACATTTGTGAACCTTTTCTGGGGACACACCTGAAAGTAAAACTGAATTATCAGTGACGGTCTTTAAAAAAAAAAAAAAAGAATCAGTGGTTTAACACTAATTTCTAATCAGATCCTACAGAAAGGAACAGCCCGCACGGCAGCTGTACTTTTCCCAGGGTTAATTACCTTTCACTGCTCTCTACTAATGAGTCAGCTGTTCCTGTCATCGCAAACTACACTGGTTCATCTGGAGCTCTAGCTGTGGACAAACACAGGAGTGACAGTCCTATTTACATATGGGGTGGGGAGAGGTGGAGCAGAGATTTCTAAGGGATTTTTATTTTTAAAGCCTGTAAATGCTCGTGTGTTTCCAGACTAAAAATACTTTTACAAATAAGCTTTTACTTGGTCAACTATTGTTTTTCTGCCAGTTTGCAGGGTTTGCCATCAAATGTAGAACAGTGCCAAAGCCTTGGAAAGAGACGAACTTCATCACCCCCACAGAAAGCTCTGCGCACTGATCCCTCAACACTGTGACAGTCATCCCCCAGGAGGGAAGGTGGAGAGCTGATAAAAAGATGTCCTTAAAACATGCATAGGACAGAGAGTTAAATTCAAAGGTAGCAAACAATCTAAGAGAAAAAATTCTTGAAACTGCTTTGTTTGTATATGAAAAGTAAATTAGAAATATTGACAGTCTTGACCCCCACCTCAAAATAGGCTTGAACTAAATGCTTTTAGCTGTGCCTAGATCAGTTTTGGAGTCTATGTCTGTAGAAGTTTTATTGCTCAGGTAATACTTTTACCCAACAGTAGCTCTGCTCTCCACTTCAAGATGTAGACAGAGTGTGCTCTTAGGTAGTCTTGAAGGTTGCTTACTGTGTCTCCCCTTTCATTTCAGAGGCAGCTGAGAGGGATATACAAATGGTCAGGCAGCAGTAGAGTTCTACTTTGACAGCCTCTCAAACACCTCTGAATGAAGGATACTCTCCCACGAACAAGTTCCTTCTACTAAACCATAAAATCTGAAGTCAGTAGCTCCCTCAAGTTGTGTTATGCCTCGGGTTGCTTGGGTGTCTTGCAGACCTGCAGGCCCTGAAGCTGACAAGCGAGGTTGGACTTGACATCATGCATTCCTCATAAAGGCCTACGAGACAATAGACCCTGCTGACCCATGGCCCAGGGTGAGTGACCAGCAAAGTGAAAGAGCAGTGGCTTCCAAACATGAGTCTGCCTCAGGATCACTCGGAGGCCTTACGTGGGGCCTGAGAATCTGTATTTCCTAGAAATTAAGATACTGGTGGGGATGATGTGTCGCAACCATACAGTAGAACCATTGCCTTAACTGTTCACTATTAAATATACTGGAGAATCCTGACTCCTACCGGGTGTAAGTCCTTTACACCCCCACAGAACAGCATTTCCACTTTATTGGACAGTTATTTGCCCTGATTTTAATGCTTTACGATGGAAAGGAACAGATAAAAAGTGAGTGTCCTGGCCCATCATTGAAGTACATTCTGAGAACCACTTTATAGCTTATTGAACTTGATCTGCCTTCAGATGAAGCCTTTCATGCCAAGAAAGAGAGAGCAATTATGTACTTCTTCATTACAGGTGTCGTTCCCAAACATAAGCTCACAAATTATAAACATAAGACTTTGCATAACATTGAAACTTGCCAAAAGCAAATAAAACATGAGAATAAATTAATCACAAATTACAACATAAAAACAAATTTAAATGTCAAGCAATAATGCAAATTTCCTCAAGATAGTCAATGTTTTACCAGCCTTAGTGAATTTTGACTTATTTTTTTTAAATGGTACAGTGTGTTTCTCATACACATAGATATGTGAAGTGTTCTCTGTTGATTGTTGCTATTTTGAAGAACACATTATTCTGAAAACTTCTTGGAGGATGGAAAAACCTTTTATCTAATACTAAAAATACATTTGCCTTGATGTTCATGTAAATATCTCAGTGCTAGAGCTCTCCAAAGAGCATTTTGCAACATTGTTTGTTGGAATACATATTTTAGAAAGGAGGGCAGTAATAAAAGAAATTACAGAATGGAATCACTGAGTGTGTTTTAGTTTAAAAAAAAACAGAAGGAGGAAACAAAAAGGATGGTGATTCTCAAAGAGCGAGCTACTCACTGAGCAGAAGCTCGGTTCTCCAGCACTGATCTGCCCAGGCCAAGAGAGGTTGTTTTATGTCTTGAAACACGAATTTATTTCCCAGTACTGCAGTGAAACTAAGAGAATAAGGTTCTATGCACAAATACCAATAAGCATACTAAAAAGGTTTTAAGTAATCAATGCCCGTCAAAATGATTTGGTTTTGCTGTCCCCTACATTTATTTTAAAAGCATCAATCTCACCAAAATACAAGAGGATAATATCACAAATAAAGAGCTAGATTAATACTAATTTAATGGAATATTATTTGATTGATTCTTTAATTTCTGTACACAAATCTTCCCTCCACCTCTATTCTTTTTTTTGTTGTTTTGTTTTGTTTTTGTAGCACTGAGGCTTGAACCTAGAACCTTGGCACTAAACTACACTTCTGGCCCTTCTTAATTTTTTTTTAAACTTTGAAATAATGTCTTGTTTTATTGTCTGTGATGGTATGAACAGCTACTTTGAAGAAAACAAAACATTGTGGCAGCCATTGCTGATTTAATGTCATCTTGCTTTGAAGTCCTACCATGCTTTTGTTCTTCTGTTTCCATTGTTTCTGTCATGTTGTGTCTTATTGGATTTTAATATGTGTGATAGTATAAAAAAATTTTCTATGGAAAATGAGATAATATAGTAGCCATTGTTCATTTTTTGTTATTTGGTTCTGAATGCTCTGTAATACTTTCATTCTCTTGAATGGTTTTTTACTATTTTGTTTTGTTTGATACTATTGTAATGTGAAGGTATGCTCAACTATTTCAAAGAAAGAGACATTATGGTAGCTGCTATTATATCGGATTGTCTTATGGTAAAATACTGTGTTGCTTAAATTGTTCTGTTCTGATCTGCTTTGTCATGTCCTCTTTTGTCTTAATCTCTTTAAAATAAAAAAAAATTTAAAAAACAAATAATGTCTTGTGAAGCCACTGAGTTGCCAAAGCTTGGCTGGAATTTGCAGTTCTCCTGATTCAGCCTCACAGAGTTCTGGGATTATGCTGATGAGGTTTGGTTGTGGAATTTATTTCCTGATGACTTACGAGAATTATCTGATGAGTTTGATAAAAACAGTTCCCCAAAAGTACAAACATCAGGGTACATGGTTCGAGTAAGGTAGAATTTGTAATCCTGTAACGATGGAACAGAACGGAGAGCTGTGGTGTCATGAGCTGAGCCCGTAAGTGAATGTCGGGTTGATGCTGACCCCTGTCCATGGAGGGTGTCTCAGAGTTATTGTGAATCCATGTGAAGCGGGGCATTTGGACATCGGGTTTGTTGTTGTGTCGCGTGAACAATCCAGGTCAGTGTAGTTCACTTAGTCTTTTTGTCCTACGCTTATCCAGGGGTATTCTATTATTTGCACTGGCTTTCATCAGCCAATTGATCCTCCATCACAGCACCTCATTAGCACTGGCAGATTACCGAGGGAAACTGACCTTCTTGGTGTTCTTCTTAAAATAAATCAAATGGAATTAAAATTTTATCTACTGTATTACATATTGACAAATTACAATTGTCCATATTTATGGGGAGCAAAGTGGTGCTATGGTAAATGCATGCAATGTGGGCTCACTGAATCAGCTAATTAACGTATCCATTACCTCACCTACTTACATTTACCCAGTCATCACACTCTCTGGCCACCATCTCCCCATTTTCCTCTCCCCTCCCCAATCTCTAACAACCGCCATTCTGCTCTCTGCTCCCATGTGTTCACACCTTACCTACTTTGAGGTTTTATTACATTTTTTGCAAAAGCATGTGCAGGAATAAAATGCCTTAGAGGAACTAGGGAACCCTGGTGTCAAAGAGCTAATGTGTATACTGTGCTTTCATGGTGAATGAGAAGAGTGCTCATGAAAAGAAGACCTTGCTCAGAGGAAGCTGAGTGGTTTTCTTGCATCTTGTTAATTCTTCCTGCCTCAGCCCAGGACCTGTTTTCTCATCAGATGCTCCACTTGTGCTATCCAGAACCTCGCATGCATCGAACAGCCACTCTACACTGCAAGATCATGTGGCCAAGAGCATACTTCGCTGCTTCAATTCCATGAGCAGAAGCTCAGCTACAGTGCTATCTCACTGAATGAGAATCAGATAACTAATTATTAAGAAAAAAGGAAATTATAATGAGACTACGGCCTCAATGATGCGCATTTTAGAAAAAACAATGGGTCAAATACTCAAAGATGAAATATCTAAACATGGCAAAAAGTGATGTTGGTGAAAACATAGCTTAGAGTCATAAATTCGTAAAACTAATAAATACAAAGTTTAATGTATATAACACTGTATTATTGATGTTGTATATGAAAAGTAATGAAGCAAGCAAGAATCTTATGAGCAGTCAGCTTATAAATTAAGAGTAGTTTTACAAATTAAGAAAAACAGATTAACCAAAAAGCATATGTAACACTATGGTATCTTTAACACACATTACCATTAACTTGGATGCATAGGGAAGGAATTTACACATTTAGCGACTGTAAATTGTCTGGCGAGTCATATGTTAAAAATTAGAAGAGTGACTGGCATATTAAGAATGCCTTAAAAATGAAATTGGGTAGTTCTGAAAA